CCAAGATGGCCTCAGGAGGCCCCAAGGGGGCCTAAGGAGGCCCCAAGATGGCCTCAGGAGGCCCCAAGGGGGCCTAAGGAGGCCCCAAGATGGCCTCAGGAGGCCCCAAGGGGGCCTAAGGAGGCCCCAAGGGGCCTCAGGAGGCCCCAAGGGGGCCTAAGGAGGCCCCAAGATGGCCTCAGGAGGCCCCAAGGCGGCCTCAGGAGGCCCCAAGGGGGCCTAAGGAGGCCCCAAGATGGCCTCAGGAGGCCCCAAGGGGGCCTAAGGAGGCCCCAAGATGGCCTCAGGAGGCCCCAAGGGGGCCGAAGGAGGCCCCAAGGCGGCCGCGTCGGAGGTTCCAGGGTCCGTCGTCGGAGGGAACTCTGTAAAGCTTTTCAAAAGCTTTAAATGTTTCTGAAACGGATCGCCGGGAAACAGTCCAGTTTGCCGGGAAAAAGTCGAGTTTGCCGGGAAAAAGAGTTTTTCCCTAGCCAAACCAGCGTTCGAACACGCCCAAGATGGTCCCAAGACTGCCCAAGAGACCCCCAGGAGGGCCCCTCGGCGCAAAAATTGGCCCGTTCCCTTCGTGAAACGTACATTTTTCACAAATTTGCCTTTTGGGCTTTCCGACGCTCCCAGACGGCCCTGGAGGCCTCCAATACAGCCCCAAAGTAGCCCAGAGGCGTTCGAGCCGGGGTCATCCGCGCTCCGGTTGACCCCGGCTCGAACGCAGCCGGGGGGAGCAAAGGGCCCGAAAACGAACCAAGAGCGCACCAAGGGGCCCCCGAGACGGTCAAGAAGGCCCTGAGTAGCCAAACCAGCGTTCGAACACGCCCAAGATGGCCCCAAGACTGCCCTCCCCCTCGCCATCCTCCCCAACCTCACCCTCCTCATCCTCCTCAACCTGATCCTCGACCTCCTCATCCTCTTCAATCTCATCCTCCTCATCCTCCTCCTCCTCCCTCTGCTCCTCCTCCACCTCCGACTACTCCTCTTCCGTTCTTTTTTCCATGCGCTTTGCCATGCCTCTCAATCTTTTCTTCTGGCACTTGCCACTGCACTGTAACGCCTGGCAGCTACGAGCAGTGAAGGCGGAAACGCGGCGATAGCCGCCGGTACGAATCAAGGGGTCGGCGGATGTGGCGTGAGCCTGGAGAATCGTCAGAAACATTTGCAAGTGCTTCACAGATCGAGGGCGGTTCCGTTTCAAAATGTGGCTCTCGCCTCAGCGCCGCCCACATTCGTCTTAAACTTTTGCAAGAGTTTCACGAATCCCGTGGTCAACGTACCCGAATCTGTGTTTTCGAACGATTCAGGACTGTCAGGGCGCGCAGCATTACCTTGATTCGCGGTGTTGAGAATGGCGTTCTGGCACGATTGAGGATCGTCAAGACGCAACGGTCAGGTTGATTCGTGGCGTTTGAGTCCCGAGAACGGTGTTTTGGCACGCTTCGGGATCTTCAATTGGTTGTCTGCCAACGGGGCACTTCCGTCAGTGGAAATGAATCCTTGTATGGGGCACATGAGGAGAAAATTGGAGGGAGCGTTGATGAATCGTGGGTTTACACTGGTCCTCCTCCTCCTCCTCTTCCTTCTTCCCTCGCCCCCCCCCCACACGGGCCCCAGGGATGGCCCGAAGAGGCACTCCAAAGCCACTTCTTTGCTCCAAAAATTTCTGTTCGCAATGATTATCCGCTTCGTTTCACTATATGTGTCTCTTCGTCCCTTTCATGGGCAGGGTTTCTGAATGAGCTGGTGGGGATACCCCCCCCTCCTCCTCCACCTCCTCCTCCTCGTCGTTCCCCTGATCCTCCTCCACATCTTTCCGAACCTCCTCCTCCTCATCATCATCCAACTCCTCCGCTCCCTGCTCCTCCTCCTCCTCATCAACATCATCATCCTCCCTTGCCCCTCCTCTTGCGCCCCCTTCTCCTCCTTCTCCTCCCAAGCCAATGTCCACCAACGCACGCGGGCCCGTTCCCTCCCCTGTCCCTCTATCTCTCTTTTTCTTTCTCTCTCTCTCTCTCTCTCTCTCTCTCTCTTTGCCCTTCCCTGTCACCTCCTGATGCCCTGCCAAGTGCCGCGGACAGTGTGCAAGGAGACGCTGGTAATTCACCTCGTCAGCTGCGGCGCTGGGATCAGCGCAGGCGTGCGAGATCAAATCAGCTACGGCGCTGGGATTCACTCGTGCGGGAAGGGCGGCAATGAGAAGCCGAGATCAGCTGCAACGCTGGGAATCGTGCGTGCGAGGAGGAGCTGGAGGCGAAGCTCGAGGTCTAGGCAAGCAGTGGGCGGCATTCCAGGTCCAACGCTGGGCGTTATTCATGTGAGAAGGGCGGCAGTGAGCGAAGGATCATCTACAACGCTGGGAGTAGTTCATGCGAAAAGAAGCTGGGGGCGGCACCTCGAGCTCCAGAGCCCCCGCGGGCAAGCATCATCAGCTGCAGGGCTGTGACCAGGTCGTGCGCGCGGGAGGGCCAAGCAGTGGCAACCATCTCTGTCGCCACTCAGCGTGGCAGGGCGTGGACGGCGTACCAGCTACAACGCTGGGAGCAGTCCAGGCGAGCAGGCAGACAGTGGGCGACATATCAGCTACAGCGCTAGGACTGGTTCACGCGAGAGGGCAGGCAGGGAGCGACGCATCAGCCACAACGCTGCGAGTAGCTCATGCGATAAGGCACGCACTGAGCGACATCTCGGCTTCATCGCTGGAGGTAGTTCGTGCAAGAAGGCAGGCAGTGCGCGGCACCTCAACTGCAACGTTGGAAGTGCTTCATTGGCGAAGGCAGGCAGTGAGCAACATGTCATATCAGCTACAATCGGGGAGACGTAAGACCCGGGTACGGGGGACTCGGAAATCCCCGACGAGGTCGTCAAAAAAATGACGAGGCCGAGCCTGCATTTTGACGAGGCCTCCCGCTGCAGACATCCCACGAAACTCCTACTCGTCAAAATCCGAATCGCGGTCGTCAAAAAACGATAGCGAACCCGAGTCCTGGCAAACCCGGGTCTTACGCTTCCCCGATACAATGCTGGGGGTAGTTCATGTGTGAAGGGCGGCAGCGAGCGACACTTCAGCTACAGTGCTGGGAGGAGTTCACGCGCAATGGGAGGCAGCGGCAGTGCACACGGTCATTGCGAGAAGTGTGAGGAAGGGCAGGGCGAAGGATTGCAAAAAAACCCTTCGTTGAAGTGAGGGTTTTTTTGCAATCCTTCGTTGAAGCCGAGTCAGGCCCGCCCCATGACCTCTGCCGCAAGACAGGGACTAGGGTGGAGGGGGGCGAAGCTGGAGCCAAATGCTATCGGATACAACCCGTGGGGGAGCCAACCGAGTACGCACCGCCGCCACGAGCAAACCTTTCAAGCTACGACGCGGCACAAAGCAAGGGGACCCTTTAAGTTCCCTGCTCTTCAACGCTCTACTACAGCACGTTCTAGCACCACTCCCTCCAGAATGGCAGCGACGACGAAAAGGAGTCCAATTGGCGCACACCCACTTGTCTCTTCTCACTAACCTCCGCTTCGCCGACGACATCTTGCTAATCAGCAAAACGCTGCCCTACTTGAAGACTCTACTCGCAGACCTGATCGCAACAACAAAGCCACATGGCCTCGAAATACGTCCAACCAAAAATCATGACCAACCGGTCTCGGACCCGGACGCGCTCTTCCAACGTGGCAAACGTAGACATTAGATACGACCACACACCGGCAGACTGACCTACCTCGGCCAGACGATCACATTCCAAGACGCAGCGGCGACCGAGATCCAGCATCGCATCCAGGCTGCAGATACATCACACAAAGGTGTGGCTATGGGCCGCGCGCGTTGCAGGCTATCCACCGGACCGATGGACACACCAAGCGTTGAACTGGAATCCCGGTCTCGACGCGAAACAATGTCGTCACCGACAGCATGGCGGCCAAAGAAAACGGTGGGACGACGACATCAGAAAGTTTTAGCAAGGCTTGCATAGGAGCCCTAAAGATGAAGTCACAGGCAGCTGTATCAACGACGCCGTCCATCCACGACGATATCTCCATTACGACAGCAACGATGTGAGATGGTTGACGGCCGCAACGGACACGACGTGGTGGGACTCGCTTGAGTGCGCTTTCACTGCCACAACTGCTGAACACACCATCTCCCTCAACATCACACGCAACATTGCACGCACATACCATCCAGAACCTACACCACCGACAACCAACACCGACAGCAACATAACATCAGCACCAGCATTAGCACACCGACTACCAGCGACCATCAAAAGTAACAACCAGGACATTAACCGCACCGACTCTATATTGATCTGGTCCGTGAGCATCTTCTGCCACACCCTCTTGATCTTCTGGTTCATACACATGTTCTTCTTTACCTCCTTTTTTGCATTGGTTCCTCAAGCACTTCATCCACATCTTCCGCTTGGATACGGCATGAGACAAGGGCCTCATGCGCCCTGCCCAACAGGGCACGGGCACACTTGCGTGCCCGACTCCGGCGCCTTCGCTTCGCTTCGCTTCGCTGTGAGGGAGCCAAACGTTCTCGGCTACTGTTTCGGTATGCCCTTCAGGGATACAATTCATTAGGCAGCCCTTGTCGCCCAGGATGGGCCCCTGGGTAGGTGCCGGCTCACTTCGTCGTCCCATTCGGCCATTCACATGGATGGGAGGATCAGACCACTCGGATACCACTCGAATCCCCCCATGCCAATCATCCTTCTCCTGCGCCTCCGATCGATTTCGCACCTCCTGCTCCCTCTCTTCTTTGTTCTTTCTCCTCGTCCACCTCCTCCTGTTCGTCCTCCTCTTCTTCCGCCACATTCACCTCTGGCTCTTGCTTCTTCTGCTTCTTCTGTTCCTGCTGTGACTGACCCTTGGACCGTGCTGATCCCACTATTGCAGAGGAGGTGGAGGAGCAGCGGCAGCAGCAGCAGCAGCAGCAGGAGCACCATGATCGAAGGGAAGAAGGAAGGAGGAGAGTGGGAGCCCCCCGCCTCGGTACCCCCCCTGGCCCCGTCCGAGGGCCGTTGATGGTGACCCACGTGCCCTTGGACATCGATGCTGACAGCTCGTACTTCTTGTTCCGCAGCGCCTCCCGAAGCCCCTGTGCCAGCACATCGGCTCGAAGCTGGCGCAGGCTGGCCTTGGCACCGCAGCGACCCTCCCGAGTCGGTGCTGGCGTCTCGGCCCGGAGTCCAAGCCAGTCGACCGCCACAGCCACCGCCAGTCTGGTCCAGAAACCAAGCGAGCCCCGACACCAGGCTGGGCGGTCCTGACTTCGAACGTCACGGCCATGGAGCGAGTGGCCACTCCGGAAGGTGTGGGGCCCGAGACTTGACACTGCAGGGCATCAGAAGAGCCTCGGCATTTCGAGGTATGTCTTGGGTTGGCTCACACTAAGCGCTTGAGATAGATTACCCAGTGAGGGACGCTGCGGGAATAAAAGATCCCCGAAAGCAAGGAAATGCGCGGGCAGCAGAGCGCGTCGGCGCGAGTGCTGCGGCCGGCGCCCATACTGGGCGACGGTCGAATCTGCCCAGTGAGCTCACAGCCGGAGGCCACAACACCGCAGAGGCCCACTGGTGAGTAGCTCGCCCACGAGCGGCCCGCCTTGCAGGCACCGCCGCCAGGAGCTTATCGACGCGCTGCTCCATGGCCTCGTACCAGACCCCTCCTTCGACCCTCTCGCAGCTTGCCGGCCGCCTCCCCGACCGCAGAATCCGCGGCAGCAGCGCTCTTCGGCTCACGGCGGAGCCGCGGCTGCCGATTTCAGTCCCAGCATTTCTGCCTCTGCGGGCGCTGGCGCTGCAAGTCTCCCCCCGCCCGTCCATTTTGCGCTCGGAGTGGAGAATCACGGAGCTGATCTCATCAATGTTGACGTAATGCGCCCATCCTGGGCGACAGGGGTTGGGCTGGCTGCGCCACTGCAGAGAATCAGAGGGAGAAAGGAAGACTGGACAAAGAGGCGGCGAGATGCAGGTCGGGGAGCAGGATGGGAAAGCGCAGAGAACACAAGGGGGAGCAGACCAGCACCGCGCGGTGGCTGAGAGGGAGCGGGCTGATGCGGGCGCTTTCTCTTTGATCCCAGAGCGAATTCCCCTTGTCCTGCTCCATACCCCTCATTTACCTCTTGGAAGCGTCTGAGGTCCTCTCAGCGACCTTTCGGGGCCTTAGGGAAGCCTCCGGGGGAACTTTGCGGGCACGTCGGAGGTATCGGCGCCCTGTTGGGAGCTTCTTGGGGCCCTCTCATGCCGTCTCCGGGGCCTCGTGGACCATCGTCCGCTCGAGGGCCTCTTGGACCGCTTTGGGGCCCTCCGAAGCCGTCGTCGGACAGTGGTGCTGGTCTCATGGGCCGTTTTGGGGCGACGCGCGGGAGTTTCGGGAACCGTTTTGGGCAGTCGAACATCCGAACAATTGAAAACGCTCAAATGATAGATCTGCATTATATCGTATGTACATACATACATACATACATACATACATACATACATACAGACAGACAGACAGACAGACAGACAGACAGACAGACAGACAGACAGACATACATCCGTACGTACATACATACATACGAGCAACCTATTATTTTCCTTACCATTTAATCAAGGAACCTCCCGGATGGGCGTCACCTAATTCGCCCCCGCCCCGATGAGCTCCGGACGGCCTCCACACAGCTCCGAGAATGCCCGAACTTACGGCCAAGCCAGTCCGACCTGCCCCAGAGGCTTCCGAGACGCCCAAGCATCGCTCCAAGATGCCTCAGTTGGTCCCAAGACGGCCCAAGAGGCCTCCAAGACTCCCCAACAGGCCTCCAAGAGGCATCCACGGAGGGCCCCCAGAGGCAAAAATCATTGTTTTGTCGATAGTTCCCTACCTAGGCTCTGCCTAGAAGGGCTCTTACTTTATATGCTTAAAGGGCCGGGCAGTGTTGCCCGCCCCGGGCGGTTCCCCCGGCATCCGCCCCGTGGATCCCCCAGTGACGTCCCCTTAGCTTAGCTGTGCTTATCTCATCTTAGCGTAGCCTAGCTTAACTTAGCTTAGCGTAGCTTAGCTTAGCCTAACCTAGCTTAGCTTAGCTTAGCTTAGCTTAGCCTAACCTAGATTAGCTTAGCTTAGCTTAGTTTAGCTTAGCCTAGCCTAGCCTAGTTTAGCTTAGCTGTAGCTCAGCTTAGCTCAGCTCAGCTTAGCTTAGCTTAGCTTAGCTTAGCGCAGCATTAGCATAGCATTAGCATAGCACAGCATAGCATGTCATAGCATAGTATAGCACCGCATTGCATAGCGCAGCATAGCAGAGCGCAGCATAGCATAGCATAGCATGGCAAAGCGCAACATAGCATAGCATAGCATAGCATAGCAAAGCGCAGCATAGCATAGCATAGCTTAGCTCAAAAGCAAAGCAAAAGCAACAGCAAAAGCAAAATCAAAAGCAAAGGCAAAAGCAAAAACAAAGGCAAGAGCAAAGGCAAAGGCAATGCAAAGCAAAAGCAAAACCAATGCGAAAGTGTAGATGTAGATGTATATGTAGATGTAGGTGTAGGTGTAGGTGTAAATGTGGATGTAGGTGTAGGTGTAGGTGTAGATGTAGATGTAGATGTAGATGTAGATGTAGATGTAGATGTAGATGTAGATGTAGATGTAGATGTAGATGTAGATGTAGATGTAGGTGTAGATGTAATTAGGTGTAGATGTAGATGTAGATGTGAGTCTCGCTGTTGATGTTGATGTAGATGTAGATGCAGCTGTAGGTGTAAATGTAGCTGTCGGTGTAGATGTAGATGTTGCTTTCCTAAATGCTCCAACTCCTAGGTACGGTCGCACTGGGATAATGTTTGAAGGGTTTTCGGGTTCTCGCGCGCGCCGTTCCCGACGCTCCAAGACGGCTACAAGGGGCCTTCAAGATCGCCCCCTGACGGCCCCAAAGGCTCCCAAGACGGCCCCAAAACGGCCCAAGAAGGCCCAAACAATCCAACACGCTGCCAACACGGCCCAAGACACCGTCAAGACGGTTCCAGGAGATGCTCCGAAGGGGGATCTGACCCGACGTTTCGGCCCCTCGGCCCCAAGAGGCAAGAGATCCCCCGGAAGACCCCAAAGGGCCTCAAGGGGCCCCAAAGAGGCCCCGAATAGCCTCCCATTAGGCCCCAAAACGGCGCCCAAGTGGCTTACAAACCATTCAAATCCATGGGTTCGCGGGGATTCTTCGCGCCGCCGCCCTCTGCCACCAGAGGCACAGAGCAAATACACGCAGCCCCCGATTTCACCCCGCACGCGGCACTGGTCCAGCAGAGCGTTCAATGCCATAGAAAATCTGCAGGTGTCAGTTATACGTTGGTCTTTTGTGTTGCCTAAATTGAAAGCGCGGGATTGGACGCAATCTCCTGGTCGAGCACGCGGCGCCGCATCCAGCGGAATGTACAAGTGCGTCGGCACCCATGCGGGTGAATTCCTCGCGACGTTTGCTCTGGTTGCATTCCTTACTTTGCCTCGATTGCGCAATATCGGAGGCCACCATGCGTCGCCTTGGAGGCCCCAAGAGGCACCCGACAGGGCTCTCAACGCCAAGACCCTCGAAAACACCATGACGTCAGGATCTCTGAACGCCAAGGCTCCCAATACCAGCGACGACGCACACACCTCTGACGCTCCAGGCTTCCACCGATGTTCTGTAGGCCTTGGCTCCAGGATTCCACTGATGTTCCACCTCGCCACGCGCCGACTGGGATCGTGGCGGACGACCTCCACCACGTGGCTCTGCTCCCCTGGACACGCTCATTCCCTAAGCACACCCACACCCACGACGGCCCCTCGACGACAGCCTGCCCGCAGAGCGCTGGACGCCGCCGATTCCAGGCCCCGGAAAGAAAACAACCTTCGACGTGAACTCAAAATTGGTTCGGCGGGCCTTCGCTTCTGGACGCGGCCACCCCTCATGAAAATCCACGCCCACGTTGGCCCGGCAACCGCCAGCACAACCACATGCGCAACCACCAGCGCGACCGCCGGCACGACCGCCCACCAGCACCACCCCCAGCACGACCGCCACCATGACGACCAGCACGGCGACCACCACACCCGCCAACACGATGTCCAACACGAGCACCGGCACGACCACGAGCACGACCACCGACACACTTGTCCTCCGCGATCGGTCCTGCAACAACGGCTTCCCCCGAAGCCGTCAAGCTCGCGACACACATCACATCGACACCCCTATCCACAAGCGCACCGCACTCTGTCGCCCACATAGCACGGCGGGATGCCAGGCCTGCGCCCCTGCGCCAAAGATGACGATGAGGGACAAGATGTTGTGGCGAAGTGAAACGAGCCAACAATAGTTTGTATATATACACAAACACACGAAAATCCGTGTTTTTTCATATATGTTTTACAAGCTGAAGGGGGGGCACAAAAAACTCGCGCACACTTTTTAGTTGGCAGCGCAAAGGAACCCAGGCGCGGTCGGCAAACGAAGGTGTCAATCGGCAACGAACTTAGTCGAACGCGTTGTTGCACGGCCATGCACACAACTGGAAGCGGCGAAAACATGAGGCACTGCAAAGCCAAAGTGCAGCGGCACAACATCCCGCGGAGCGTAGCTCGACGACAGGAGTTGAAGCACGGGCAGCAGTCTGGTGCTAATTAGCCAACAAAGCGCAGCGGCCAAGCACCCCGCGGAGCGTAGCTCGACGCCAGAAGTTGAAGCGCCACAGCAGTCTGGCGCTAGTAGCCAAAAGAAAGAAGCGCACTGCAAGGCTGCCAGACCAGCCAGCAAGCGGCGGCGCGAGACAGGCACAAGAGAGACAGGCGCCGAAATCCTTTCACCCACACACACACACACACACACTCACACACACACACACACACACACACAACACACACAAAAAAAAACGGACCCCCGGGATTCGGGGCCATGAACCCCCCTGGTCGCATTTGGAAGAGGCCACCCAGCCCTGCCGCGCCTCCGAGGCGCGGCACCTCTGCCGGGCCTTGCCCAGCAGACCCAAAGCGATCTGAAGTGGTCGAAGAGGCGCAGGAGAGCCCCAAGACAAGACAAGACGGCTCCAAGACGGCCCGAGGGGCCCCGAAGACGGCGCAAGAGGCCAAGACGCCTCAAAAGGCCTGCGAGAGGGCACCCACAAGACAAACATCTTCCCATTCCCATGGGAAACAAATATGTTCAGCACATTCGCCTTGTGTGTCGCAGCAGCGCCCACGACAGCCGAAAGGCCTCCGAGATCGTCCCACGACGGCCCCAAAGGCCCCCAAGAGGGCCCAAGAAGGCCCGGACAAAAACTCACGAGGCTCCGAAAAACTCCCAAGGGAGACCCGCGAGTGCCATGGGAGGCCCCCAGGAGGGCCAACGACGGCCCCAAAAAGGCCCGCAGAGGGCCCAAGTTCCGCAAGAAGGCCCCACCGCGGCCCACGAAGGACCCGAGACGGTCCAAACGAATTCCAAAATGACCCCCAAGACGGCCCGGAGACGCGCCCTGGACGCCTCCAGAGGCCCCGAACGCCCTTGAGAAACATTCGCGAGGTCCCCAAGAAATTCCCCAACGAGGAGATTCCGTAAAAAACCCTGCGGCTCACGGGGAACGTTTCGAAAAGCTGGGTGAAAGCGAGAATGAATGAGAGGAACGATATGGAACGATAAAGCATTGCTTCTCTCTGTCTTGAAGTAGCCGCCGGAAACCGCCAGGCATCCTGGAGCTTCTGCATTCTTCGGTCGTTTTCGATCGACATCGGCCCCCAAGGGCCGCCGCGAACCAGAAGACCTGAAAAACAATTCCTGGAATAAAGAAAACCGACCCCCATGAAATAAGTGCACCTCTATAGCGGTCGGTTCACGTCGCGTCGACACGGCGGCGACGCTGGCGCGGGCGATCGGACTGAACGCGG